ACTGCAGCACACAGTCGGCGCTGTGGTAGGGTACAGCGTACTTTGCTGCGAGCTGGCATATTCGGGCATGCTACCAACATTGCATGCGGAATACCTGGATGTGTGCGGTTGGGTAGCCCGGGATATCGAACCTGCTGCTCGGTTTGTGATGGCACGGGCCGACATAATAGTCGAAGATGCAATCGGCAGGCGGGTCGAGTTCAGGGGCCAGTGACCGCGCCTGTTACGGCAACGGCTGCTCAGGCCACCGAAGGCAGTGGAGATCTGGCATCAGAGGGGAACTTGCTCGGGCCCCACCGGCCCATGGACAGTGGAGCAGGCTCTTCTGGCGATCAGGCGGATCATGATGATGGGATCATTGGAGCTGTTCTCTCGGTGGCTTCACCGCCGAGCGAAGGCTCCTTGATACCGACACTTCCGAACGAGGCTTCCAGACCTGTCATGTTTTGCGATTCGGATGTCACGACGGCGAGCACACAGATTGATTTGTTAGCTTTAGATGAAGACGGTCACCAAATGCGTGACGAGACCCAGCTCTCTGGAGCCTCCGTGCGGTCCCACAGTGGTCGCATGCCTCAGCCCTCTCGCAGACATCGTACTCGGTGCGCGTTCTGAATGAATACTTCTACTACTACTACTACTGCTACTACTACTACTACTACTACGACTACTACTACTACTACTACTACTACTACTACTACTACTACTACTACCGCTACTGCAACTACTACTACGACTACTACTACTACTACTACTACTACTACTACTACTACTACTACTACTACTACTACTGCAACTACTACTGCTACTGCCACTTGCTACTGCTACTGCTGCAGCTTCTGCTATTTGCTACTGCGACAGCTACGGCTACCGCTATCGCTACAGCTACTGCTGCTGCTACTGCCACTGCTCCTACTGCTACTACTACTACTACCACCACTACTTCTTCTGCTACTGCCACTGCGACTGCTGCTGACATTGCTCCCGCCTCTGCCCCTGCCGCTGCCCCTGCCCCTGCGCTCGCTCCTGCTCCTGCTGCTCCTGCTGCTCTTGCTGCTCTTGCTGCTCTTGCTGCCCTTGCTGCTCTTGCTGCTCTTGCTGCTGCTGCTGCTGCTGCTGCTCCTGGTGCTGCTGTTGACCCTTGCGCCGGCTCCTGCTCCGGCTCCTGCTCCTGCTCGTGCTACTGCTGTTGTTATTGCTAGCGCTGCTGCTACTACTATCTACTACCGCTACTGCCGCAGGGGGTCTTCAACCTGCTCGAGCGTGGGGGCAGTAAGGCCGGCTTTCATGGTCACAGCCTGGACGTTGCAGCATGTGGTCCGTATCAGGCAGTTGACTTGGTGTTGGGCTTCCGTACTCGGGCTTGGTGAGTTTTGTCGTAGAGATTTGTTTTGATTTGTGCGTGCCTGGATCAGGATTCAGAGACTTTGGTCGCGCGACAGGTGTTTCAGGTCCAAAGGGAGTTACATGTCTCGCGACTTCGCGACCTTGTGGACCCCTGGTTTGTGGAAGCAGAGTTGGCTTGGATGTTGATTTTGCTGCTGAGATCTTGCCTGTCGTCCCGCAGCTGATCATGCCGATCAAGCCGCGCCCTCGCGAAGGGCAGTAACGAGAGCATCAGTAGCACCTGTCATGGTAGTGCCCACATTGGAAAAGCCCCGCCGGTAATCGCGGTCACGCGCACAAAGCTGATGGCATACGCAGAAGCAGCTCTCTGTATGGTTGTCACAGCCGTCTTAAGCCAGAGCAGCAGGTAGGAGAGGATGCAGCCAGAAGGAAAGGAGTAGCACTTGCTTGCTTTTGCAGTTGCAGCGTTGGCAAGCACACCAGCATCTGTAGCAAGAATTAGCAATATCCACCCAGCGACGACTTCACCATCACTACCAATGGTAGCAGGAGCAGTCCTGCTATAAGTTACAATAGCGAAGGTCTCGGAGGACACGCACGGTTGGATCGACTAGCAGATTTTCATATGAGCAATACGAAGGCCGTACGTAATAGCTGGCTGTACCTAGCTAGCACAGCGAGCAGAATATGACGACAATGAGACCAGCAAATAGAGCCATCTAGACCAGCTTGTGCAGCAGCTCACGGTCTCACGTGCAGTCGTAGTAATGATAAGGTTGCCCCAGCTGCCTGCTCGGATCCCTCTCTGTCCCTTGCTACTTCAGACAAGTTCAGTGTTGATAGCGAATTTATTGATTCTGGCAAAAGGCCCGTCACCAACTTCACATCTGAGACCCTTGCCGCATGCAGTTTCGCAGTCGACCAATCCCAAAACGAAACCCCGAACCAGTTGACGCTCGAATCATCAGCTCTACACACGCACACAGACACCGAGGATGGCCTTGAACACCCGGGATGCGGAGGTCATCAACACCACCCTGAAGGTGCTGCAGGCTGGGTGGGTCCCTGGGTGCCCTTGAAAGCGGGCCGGGTTCCGGCTGCGGCTGCAATGAAATGGAACCGGCTTCAGGACTTCTTGGCAGTTAAAGGGATATCGCAGAGAGGTGGCTTGGGGCCAGAGGCTAGTCGAGCAAAATTGCGTGCTCGATCCGTAGATGGGGTGATCTTGGCAATGCCGCACAAGCAGTTGGAAAGCAGAACTCAAGCGCACGCCATCCTCTCTAAACAATAGGTGTACAAGACATTTCTTTCTCCGAAGGCCTGAGAGTTGCTTGTAGAACGGTCTCACTTCAAGAGGAGTAGAGCTAGATGATAAAAAGATGCATCTTGCTGACAGCCTCGGGCTGCAGGCGTTGGTTCTGTCAGGCGAGATGATTGGTGAAGCCTTGGTTCCGCAGCTTGGCCGAGGTGTAGATCTTGTAGTGACTGATCATCACAAGACCCACGGTAATTGTCGGGATAATGGCCTACCTAGGAGTAGATTGTTTGATCTCCGCGGCAGGGGTAGGACCTGACTTGCAGCAGCTTATCTCATGTAGATTTTCAGCTCAGCAGACGGAATTGGAGCGGTCTGGTCCGCACCAATGTGGCTCAGAACTTGATATCTGACAGACATGTAACATACGGCAGAAGGGCTGCTCGCCTGCAGCGGAGGGCCAGGGACAAGTCCAACCGGGTCTTGTAGCTGTCTCCACGGACGGATCCGCGCTCGGACTCTGGCAGACTCCTCAGCCTAAGGTACTATCGCCAGATCCTCCCCATCTTCAGCATTTTCAAGCAGTGCTGTCTGGTGCTCAGTGTGCTGCTGCAGACAACTGCTGAATTCGAGAAACTAATGATGGAAGGCTTCGCAGCCTTGACCAAACAGACAGGTCACAGCAGGCTCACAAAAGGCACGCACTCGCAGAAGATTACTGCTCGGAACGTCGCTGGGGTGTTGGGCGAGGGTAGGGGGGTGGTGATGTTGGCTCTCGCAAGAGCTGCAAGAAAAGGTGCTTTCGTTATTCCGGCTTGGTTGCGGTGCTTGGATGAAGCACAGGGGATGGGACCCTGCTTCCCGAGGTCCAAGCACTTTCGATCAGATCGACTATGCGCAGCGCAAGCGTGTCTCAGCAGCAAAAGCTTGCGCATCAACGCAGCAGCTGAGTCTGTCGGACAATGCCCTTCAGATCATCGTAAGCCGGTCTTGCTGAAAGGCGAGGCTGGCATGAAGCTGGATATGGAATGAAAGATGTGGGTGTTGATTAAGAGGGTGTGCCGCACTTGCACAGACGATGCTTCGAGCGTTTATCTTAAGGCAGCAAGGCGAGCACGGAACTTGACACCAAAGGGGAAGAGTGAGGCCCAAGCCACGACCGCCCAGCTTTCGAGCTGAATGTAGCGAGTCGAGTCTAGGCAACAACCTCGGAGAGCTGATCGACGAGACTTTAGAGATCTTCGAAATCCACGGCGGCGAGGACAATCTTAAAGACAGGGACTTACTCCGAGATGGTTGAGGCGAGCAGAGGAGGATTCGAGGCTTCATGCTTGAGGCAGAACGAGGGCACATCATCATATGTGACGTATGATGTTGGTGATGCGCATGGCTGTAGCTTGCAAGGCGAATTGAACACTATCTTCACAAGGTAATGATGACATTGTCAGTCACAGCAGCAGAATGCTAGATACTCGTAGCAGCAATGTCATCGCGTATAAGTGCTTCGGACAAGTAAAAAAGACTAACTACAACAAATACAGATAAGTTGACAATGTCAGTGGCAACACGACAAGCATTTTTATTCTGGCTGCCGCTAGCGTAGCGATTGCTTGTACATGGCTGGCACGCAGTCTGTCAGAAGCTGAACAGAGGGGCTGCATCCCAGGAACTCGGAAAGGTCCTGATTCATGTTGCTTTCCGAGGTGGTTCTGCAGCTTCCAGCGTGACGCTGGGTGTGCTTGCTGCATATGCCAGGACGCTTTCATCAACATCAAGTACATGATCCCAACCTACGAGCCCCTGTCTCAGAGGGTAGAGACGGCACGCAGTCCCAGTTTGATAGTGCAGGTCTCCCACAGGTTTGAGATCTCAGCATCTTCCGGAAATAGAAAGCGGTCACGAAGGGTTCAAGTGCACAAGGTGTATGCCTCGTGTCACCATCAGCTGTTCACGTTTGTAGACAGAGGCATAAGGCCGGAAACTCTGCTGCTTTCATGGCCTCGGCTGAGTGCATTTGAGTGCATTGGCTCTGCACGAAGCGATGCTTCCGCTTCCAAGGTCCTGCATGTTGGGCTGAGCTGCAGCGGCTGCGACTGAGAAATAAGAACCTAACCATTTGTATTATTTATCTCAGCTCTTCCAAGTTCTTAGACTCGACTCCACTTGCACCGTAGCTACGCTGCCAGCCGTGAGGTCGGGTACATGCCACAGGTGAGACCCCCGCGTCGTTTTGTTGTCTTTAAACCCCAAAAGGTGACATCAATAAACAGGTTCTCCAATGGTTCGGGTGTTCCAGGCTTAGGGCTGCGGCTCTCGCATTTTTGTCCAGCCAGCGTCGCAAACGCTGCACTTGCAACTTGGATCATGCACCTTCGGGACGTCTGAAGCCGCTGCCTGGACTTGACGAGTTCCCGAGGGAGATGACCTTTCCGGAACGAGTTGCCCACACTGCGCTCAGAAGGCTCAATCACGCAGCTTGCTCCTCGATATTTCGCCGAACAGTGTGACACATGCAAGCACATCTGACATGGCTGCACAACCGAATTCTGATTTGGAACTTCTCGCGACGAGTGCAGGCAACTCCGAAACCACCCCCGCAGCGCCCAGAGACCATGAAATCATGGGCCATCGTGACTGCAATCAGCAGCAGAGCTTTTCGAACGGTCAAGAGCTGACCAGCCCTACATACATACATATGTAGTTGTATAGGTATATACATATATACACACATACATTCACACATACACATAAAGATCTACCCACGTACGCGCACGTGCACGCACACACACATATGTGTATACACATGTATGTATGTATGCATGCATGCATGTATTTTTACGTATACAGCTAGATGTACACTGAGCCCCGCAGCCACGGCATTGCGCCCTCTGTGGCAGTGCCTGCGGTCTTGCTTTGGTACCTGGTCTTTCGGCGTCTCCTCCTCTGCATTGTGGGGTGGTGCCTGCGGTGTTCGCGGTTGGCTAGGGCCAGGGTATAGGCAGGAACACTGGCTCTGTCTATGCTGTTTGAAACACGCAAGCCACCAAGCCGAAATTGTAATCGTGGCTGACTCGCGATGCTGGAATGGCATTGCTGAGCAGCTCCACACAGGTATGCTTGCAAATATTTGTCAGTAGTTCTGTACGCTTTATTGCGATTGTTGGTTAGTTACTACATGTACACTACAGGTATCGGTTGTCCGCTTTTTTCCTTCAGATGGTGCCCATCCCGGGAAAACGAGGACCGTCGCGAGGATGGCGGCCCCACCAAGCTCGATCTGTGTGACTGTTGTCGCAGACAGCACTGGGAACGCGGGGGCTCAGGCAGGGGATACTACGGCTGGGGGCGGTAGCAGCCCGGGATCCGGCAGGCATCGTACGTGTATTATATGCATCTGTATATATAAATACATATGTGTGTGTATGTATATATATACATATATATATATATATATAGGCGGCCCGATGCCGGGCAATAAACTCCGGAGTTAATGGTTTTTAACTCTTGGATTCACTGCCTTCCTATATATATATATATAACTTTTATGTGTGTGTACACATGTGTATGTATCAACACATGATATATATATATATATATATATATACACACACACACACACCCGCATTTTGTATGGGTGCGAACCGTCCTTCGCTCTGCTGCATCGACAGCCGAAGTCCGGTTTCTGTGCAGTCGGGCAGGCCGACAGCGGGGCTTAAGAGTCCCAGGGAGTCGGGGTACAAGGGTTTCCGGCTAGGAGCTTTGGGGTTCAGGGAATTTGGGGTTCACATTGAAGCTTTGGCCGTTTAGGGTTTTTGCTCGTGGAGGCGGGGCCGCGATTGCATCTTGAGAACGCTCAGGGGTTCTGAGGTTCAGACCGAGATTTTCCTCTAGGACCTCCTAGAAAATTGCGGCAGACCTGGACGAGAAGCGAGTGTCTAAGGCTCGGCTCGGGGTTCAAAGAGGCAGGAGCACAAGGACAGTTGGAGGCTACGACAGGGATCTCTTCTAGGCAGTTTGTCATGGCTCCGCCTCCCTAACTCCGAACTTTCCGTTGGGTTCAGGATGACAAGCATAGTTCGGCAAAATTCCATAACATCATACAACGCTAGTATAATGGACTTACTATGTTTGCGGCAGCTTTGGAAAGCAGAAGGACTTGATCCTCGGCCGACCTGCCTCCTACATCTCTGCAGCTCGTTCTGACAAGGATGGGAGCCGCAGTTATGGGAGTCCGTGGCCCTCGCTGCCATGCACACTTCAGAGCACAGTGTCCTGCTTCTCTCAAAACAATCCACGTGGCAAGGGGCCTCCGGATTCTTGGACAGTTTCACTTAAGCCGCCGCCTGCAGAACAACCCAGGCCCGTATGCGACCTTCGCCTAAATTCTTGCAGGAACTACACCCTCAGGCACTTCCCCCTGTCTTCTGCCACCGGAGCCTGGAACCCGAGCCCCAGTCTTAACGGCTTAATATGGCTTAATGGTGTAGCAAACATGTCTCCGCAAGAAGGCTGCCTCTGGGTTCTGGAGTCTCGAGGGTTCTGGTTCTTCCCGACATCTTCCTCAGTGACTTGTGGTCAACACTAGGCCCCTGATCCTCTGACGGACACATGATGTAAACCATGTTCTTTTCTCCGAGGAAACCGGAACGACAGTACTCAGAGCAACTGTCTGTGCCAAAGTTTGTGCTTTAAATGAAAGACACACTACATCGGAGAGTCAGCCTGCCCTCGAGACTGTGCCCGTAGTGCGCTCTAAAAGCCATGGACGAAGGTCGCCGTTGTTCTATCTTGGGGGCTCTTGCACTTGAAGCAACTCCCTGTGTGCTCAAAAGTATCCGATCAGATGCAGATCCGTGGCTGCTGATGCCCTCAATTGAAGCAATCGTGGTGCATTCGGTTGCTCAGCAGTCTACACTTAATCTGCATAGGCGATCATATTGACCAAGCGTACTGCTGTACGTGAACGAAAGGGCAACGCACACGGAACGGCCAAGACAGAGGATCATCTAGCATAGTTAGGCAATAGCATGGTCATCTTTCAGAATGTCGCCAGGATGACAGAACACACTCTTAAGTTCAAAGAACGCGTGTGACTAATAACTTTTCCGTGCACTCAAGCAGCTGTGTTTGTTTCCGAAAAACAGTCTACTGTCGGGGATGTTGATTGATTTGAAAAGGAACGCCGACGGGGTCTTCTGTGGAGCATGAGCAGCAAATCAGCCCTGGCAGTTCTCCGAGCAGTTTGCTGCAGGCGTTCTTGTTAGTATGACATGGAATGCCGACGTTTCTTGCTTTGGGTCGGCGGCCATTGCCAGGGTTTTAGCGCTTTGTCTCCCCTGGTGGTTTCCGGGTGGCGTAGTCTGATGATGCAGTGCCATCAAAATAGGGCAGCAGCACGACAACCGGAAAGGACACGACTGTGAGCTAGGAAAACATAGCAATGAAGAAATCACGGGAATATAAGGCGAGGGGACATGTCTGCGTGGAGGACCACGAGATACCACGGAACATCACGGAGATGTTTATTCGTTCACATGATACCATAGGAAGCACTACACAGTAGTATGCTTTCACAGCAGCAAGCACAGCAAGCACTTTTGATCGACGGGGAGTTGCCGAACGCACACGCGCTCGGTCGAAGATCGATCGAGCGCCTTGTGCGAGGATGTGCCGATTTGTAGCTGGACCCTAAACCCCAAGCCTTAAACACCATGAGCGAGCGAACGGAATGTGAAGGGAGTTTTCTGTTACCTTCTTTCCATGTAGCGTAAGCGTAAGCAAGACAAGGGCTGCAGGAAATGAGCGAAATCCCAGAATTCGAGACCCCTTTTAGTACAATTAGTCGCACTTGTGTCTTGCTTTTATGGCAGAATCGGCAGATCCGGTTCATCTTAGTATCTCAATTGCAGCCTACCGATCTCTAATGGAGACGGACTACGGGGCTCTGCCAACAAGGAAATTGGGTCAACGACCCAAGAATTTTTGCATGATTCTTTCGGGAGGCTCATCT